CGTCTATTCAGGTCCTCTGACCATTTTTAAATTGGATTTGTGTGTGTGTGTGTGTGTGTGTGTGTGTGTGCACGCTAAGTTGTATGGAATTCTTATATATTTTGGATATTAACCCCTTATCAGATATATCACCTGTAAATATCTCCTCCCATTACTAGGTTGTACTTTCATTTTATTGATGGTTTCCTTCTTGTGCAAAAACAACTTCTTATTTTGATTTAGTCTCATTTATTTTTTTCTTTTGTTTTCCATATTCAATGAGATATATACAGAAAGATATTGCTAAGAACAACATCAAAGAGTTTTCCTCCAGAATTTTTATAGTTTCAGGTCTAACATTTAAGTCTTTAATCCATTTTGAATTTATTTTCATACGGTATAGGATAGTGATCCAATTTCATTGTGGGGTTATTTTTTGTATGTATTTGTCCAGTTTTGCTAATACAATTCATTGAAAAGACTGTTTTTACACACCTGCTTTTATAAAGCATTTGAAAGAGAATGAGAGGAATCAAAATTTGAGGGTAAGGCCATTTTTTCTGGTGAATTTTTCCATTGTAAACAAATTTAAAAGAAGGAACTGACATGTGTCTAAGCATGGACTAAAGTCTATGGCAAAGAAAAACTAAAACTAACATTACTGCTATAAAGGAGATTAAAATTTAGTTAGGATTGCATGCAGTTCATATGCCACACACGAGTAAAAGTACCGTATTTTTCGGACCATAAGACGCACTTTTTCCCCCCCAGAAGTGGGGGGAAAAGTCCCTGCGTCTTATGGTCCAAATATAGCCTACACATATACTTTTAAAAAAAAGTTTTTTTACTTGCCTGGCTCTGTGTGGTCTCTGTGTGCTTGCCCGGCTCTAAAATGGTTCTAAATGCTGCTGTTTACTTTACAGGGTTGATTACATGTGTTTATGACTGTGATGTTGGGTTTTAATGCACATAAAGTATTTTAGGACACTATTTGTTTCAGAATCTTTTTTCTTCATTTCCCTTCTCTAAAAACTGGTGCATCTTATGGTCCGGTGCGTCTTATGGTGCGAAAAATATGGTATTAAATATAAAAACCATAGCTAGAACTAAGCCTTTGTAGTAATCAGTGTTTTCTTCCAGAGAAACAGGACCAATAGAACAGAGAGATAGATAGATTTATTATAAGGACTTGGCTCACATGATTATGGAGGCTGAGAAGTCCCATGGTCTTCTATCTACCTGCAAGCTGGAGTTCCAGGAGGGGGAGTGATGTATTTAAAGTCCAAGTCCAAAGGTATGAGAACCAGGAGCACTGAGGGCAAGAGATAATTGCCCAGAAGTTAGTGAGAAATGAATTCAACCTTCCTCTGCTTTTTTTGTTTTCTTCAGGCTCTCAACTGATTGGATGATGCCCACCTACATTAGAGAGGACAATCTGCTTTAGGCAGTCTACTACCTCAAATGCTAGTCTTCTTTGGGAACACCCTCACAGACACATCCAGAAGCAGTGTTTAACCAGCACTCAGGAGATCTCATGGCCCAGAGAAGTTGACATAAAATTAACTATCACAGCTCTTACTCATAGAGAGGTCCAGGCACATGGCCTTCATGGGACCTTGAACTTCCACCCATGTGACTCAGGACTCTGTACTACATTTGCAGAAAAGCAAGGTGGTGCCATGAGGTCTGGGTTCAAATCCTGCAATCTCCACTTCCCATGCTTATGAACTTGGGAAAATTACTGAGCCCCTGAAACTTCATTTTCTTCATCTATAAAGTGTAGCCAAAACCTGCTTTATGTGGATAATGTAAACATTAAATATAATGTATAAGGAGGGCTTATTGTTGTGCCTGCTTATAATAGGTATTCAATATATTCTATATTGATTAGGAATAGTTATTTAAGGTACTATTTATTGTAAACATCAAATAAATAGACAAGGCTTCATATGGTAGCATCAAAAATAACTCTTCTTCAAACAGGCAGCAAGATAGCAGCCACCCATGTGGTGTGAAGGCATACACCGACTGGCATATGGCTTTCTCAGTGCTTATTGATTATGATAGAAAGAGCACCTAGAAATGAATGTTTCACTGGAGAGAAGACTGAAATAAAATCTGCAATAATCCCAATAAAGTTACAAACTGGTTGGTCATTTCTATGTAGTGATGTCTCTAAGGATTCATCTTCCACCTGGAGGAAGGCTAACTCCAGATCAATTAAGGCTGAGCCTGACGCATGGATAGTCAAACAGTGGAATAGTGTCACCATCTCCATTTTGCAGATAAACAGTAGTGAGTACTGAGAGAGACACTTAGAGAGTACTCGGAGTTCAAGTCCCTGCCACTGTCTCAGAGACAAGACTGAAGAGTGGGTACCCAGAGATAAACTGAGAGGGTGCTGAAGGCTCCAGGGCACTGCCTGATTTCTCAGAAGTGTGGCTGGAAATGGAACAGAAGCCTGCACACTGCTTCTGCTTTCTGCTAGCATGTGCCCTGTGAATGTTCTCTCTCACCTTGAACATGATCTGCCTCTGTTGTCAGCAGCTCTTAGTGAGGACACTAATCTTAACCACATTTCTCTCATCGTGATATTTGTTCATTTACCAAGAAGTGATGTAATGTTACTCTTGAAGGCTCTTCACAGCAACTGTCTTAGCACTGGATGTCACTGTTGCTCCACGCAAACCAAACACAAGCACGCCTCATTTTGCACTATTGTAGAACCCCAGGATCCCCCCCTCCCCCGCCCCCCTGCAACCAGCCTGCCACAGATGTTGCTATTTGCAGATTCTAAATCTAATCTATCCCAGGAGCAAGAGTCCAGGGAAAAGGCCAGGAAACCTCCAAGGCCCATAAGGTATAAGATTCATCCTACACTCAGATTATTAAAAAGGTCTACTTATCAGCAAGAAATTCTGCACTTGCTACATATTTTATGGGGTGGGGGGAAATAATTAATAGCCTAAATGAACACCTGAATCAGAATGAATTAAATTATCATCCATGAAAGAGTTCCAGAATCATTTCTTTAAAAAAAAAATATATATATATATATATATATATAAATATATATATATATATATATTTATATATATATATATTTATATATATTTATATTTATATAAATATATATATATATTTATTTATTTTTTATTGAATTTTACAGAGAGGAAAAGAGGAGGATAGAGAACTAGAAACATTGATGAGAGAGAAACACCAACCAGCTGCCTCCTACACACTCCCTACTAGGGATTTGCCCACAACCAAAGTACATGCCCTTAACCGGAATCGAACACGGGACCTTTCAGTCCGCAGGCCAATACTCTATCCACTGAGCCAAACCTGTTTTGGCCAGAATAATTTCTTTGATAATGAGACACAAATATCAACTATTGCTTCTTATCCCAGTCTCTTCATAACCAAGTAACAGCCAGCAATCAAGGCTATTTAAGCATTCAGTCTTGCCTTCCAAACTGCTCTTGGACTTAAGCAAGCACAGCAGGCAATAGTGCCTTTTAGGGCAATTATAGGCATAGCTCAAGTATTTACAGGACACAGCATTGTAATATAACAATCTTAGTTGGTATTTCCGAGGTAACAGTTAAGTCCTGCATCAGTGGTGGCCCCTCAAGTGGTGGGAAAAGACCGATTGCTCCTGAGGGTGGGAAATAATTTTGCAGTTCAAGGTAGTGAGGGAAGGCATTTCTTCTTCCACTGTACTCAAAGCTGAATGAGTCTGCTGTAGCATTTTTTTCCCCCATCATGATTTTCTCATGACAATGTTGTGGTTACGTTAGCAGGGGGTGGAAAACTGATAAGTGTAATTGCTGTAATCACAGGATGTATAGGATGTAAATATTTGCAGGGCAATTAAAAATGATTTGCCTCTTTAGCTCCTTAAAATAAAAGGCACATCTGAATGGCAAACAAGTGGAGATTTACCAAAAATAAAGCAGAAATGATTTTAAGCAGCAAGAATATGAAATTATTTATTGAACATTCGTTTTATGGGGTAGTCTGATGCGAATGTGGGGGAAAGAAGAGCAAAATGTTGTGGATCAAGAGAACTGTGTCATCAAATAACTAAAAATAAATTCCAAGAGAACCCCCTGGGGTCATACATGATCACAGTGTGTGGCATTGTCAATTACCTTCTCAAACAGACCCATTGTTTAGGGGGACATCTAACTGCCAAGTCCTTGCTGCCACAAGTTATGGGGTTTTCCCAATTTAGGGATATTTGGGGAATAGCAGTGAAAATGATACTTATTGACTGCCAATCCAAAAAAATGGCATTTTTTGCTATGAGAATATCTTTTCTTTTTCATTTTTATCTGATTCATCTATAAAGGTCTCCTATGTCTCACTCTACGTTCCAAGTAACATTTAATGGTATTTGACTCATCTACTGAATTTCTAACATATGCTAACCCTTTAACTGGCAGAGAGAGAAGGCTACAAAGTGCTGTGTTCAAGTGTAGGGTTTGCATAATGGATAGAAGATTGAACAGCCCTGAGATACGGCCTGGAGCAAGGTTAAAATGTACACACTGAAATGTATATGTACCAAACTAGTCATTGTTCTGTTCTGTGATTGACATCATCTAGACCTTGATCCTTTCTTTCTCTAATTTGAAAACAAAAAACCCAAACAAAAAAATCTTGAAATTTGATGATAAATGGCAACTTTGTCTCTTTATTTAAAAGGCTCTTGGGTTGCCCTAACTGGTTTGGCTCAGTGGATAGATTGTCAGCCTGTGGACTGAAAGGTCCCAGGTTTGATTCTGGTCAAGGGCATGTACCTTGGTTGCAGACACATCCCCAGTGGTGGTGGGGAGAAGGGGTAGGAGGCAGCTGATGAATGTTTCTCTCTCATCGATGTTTCTACCTCTCTATCCCTCTCTATTCCTCTGTAAAAAAATCAATAAAATATGTATTTTTTAAAAAGGCTCTTGGGTGAACTCAGTCTCTTAAGGGTAAATACTCAATTATTTTGGATATCTTCTCTCTTTTTTAAGGCCTGTAATTTCACGAAGACAAGGAAAAGTGAACTTGGAGCCACATGTCATCCTCTGCTAGTCCTGCTAACTAATTGAAAAATATCTGATGGGTCTTGGCACTGGTTGGTCATTGCTACAGACACTAGCTAAAATGCCTGTGGATTATGATGCTCAAGGTCTATGCTCTCAGGCAAAGCAGAGCGATTACTCCATGAAGCTCAGCAAACTTGTCTAGGTAGGGTCTGACTTTTTACCACCTCCCCCCACCAGTGTTGATTCTCTGAGACTTCATCATGGCCTTTCCTTGGGGCTGTAAACTTTGCAAAGGTCTCCTCTCCTGACCCATAGTGACCTGTTGGCAGAAATGCTCAACTTTGCTTCGTTATTCTTACTTTTAATTCTCTGCCACCTCCTTCTTCCTTTGCATAGTGATGCTGGAGCATCCTGACCTTGTCTGTGTCAAGCATAGACTGTAGAGCAGGAGCGCACAGCCCCAAGACTGTTCATCTGGACCCTCCGGCCTGCCTGCACTGAGCCAGCACCCTGGCACCATGCTGCACGAAGCAGAGGGAAGAGAGCAGAAGTCTGGATATTCTTTGATTCCCCCTCACTCAATCCAGATCAGAATGTCTATCATATCAGGTCTACTAGTAATTAATGTCGTTTTTTAACATTCGCTTAAAATCTTGCTTGGCGTTGACTTGTATTGACATAACCTTCAAACACGTGGTATCTACAGAACGTGTGAAGTGCAATTAACAAGTTTTGCTTGAAAAAGTCTGTGTTTGGTTTGGTTTTTATTGCAAAACTAGGGCTAAGAAGATGGCAGATGAAGAGCATATTCGGCACTGCATGCTTTACGAGTTCCAATTAGGAAGAAAAGCAAGTGAAGCTGCAAAAAACATCTGTAGTGCTCTTGGTCAAGATGCAGTTAGCGCCAGAAAATGCCAGCGTTGGTTTGAGAAATTTCACAAGGGAAATTTTTTGTTAGATGACAAGAGTGGTCGAGGCCGTGTGTCCAATTTTGATCAAGAAGCTCTTCAAGCTCTTTTGGTGCAAAATCCTCAAATTACCCAACAAGAGCTTGCGACAACTTTAAGTTGTTCACAAAAAACAATTTCCAATCAATTGCGTGCACTTGGCAAAGTCCAAAAGTTTGGAAAATGGGTTCCTCATGAGTTGACCGACAACAACCGTAATCAAAGAGTCACAATTTGCAGTTCGCTCCTCTCTCCTCAAAACCGTTTGCCGTTTTTAGAGCAAATTGTTACCGGACATGAAGAATGGGTGCTGTATGTTAATTTGAAAAGGCGGCCTCAATGGTTGGACAAAAATGAGGCTCCGCAGCCCACGCCAAAACCTGACTTGCATGCGAAAAAAGTGATGTTGTGTGTTTGGTAGAATTTTAAAGGAATTCTTCATTATGAACTTTTACCATCTAACCAAACCATTACAAGTGCAGTGTATAGTGCCCAATTGGAAAGGTTAGCCCAAGCTTTAAGAGAAAAAGAACCCGCGCTGATTAATCGGAAGGGCGTAATTCTTCACCACGATAACGCACGACCGCACACTGCAAGAATCACTGCTGAAAAACTGCGCCAGTTGGAATGGGAAGTTCTCCCTCAACCTGCATATTCTCCTGATATTGCCCCTTCCAATTACCATTTGTTTCATTCTTTGCAAAACTTTCTTCTTGGAAAAAAATTTAATAATGAAGAATGCCTCAAAAATGCATTGACCGAATTTTTTGCATCAAAATCACAAGAATTTTACAACAGGGGGATTAAAATGCTTCCTGAGCGTTGGGCACAAGTAGTAGAAAACAACGGCAACTATATTGTTGATTAAATTTTGTTGTATTGTTTAAATAAATTCGATTTTAAAAAGTATTAGAAAACGACATTAATTATTACTAGGCCTAATATTTTCTTTTCTTCTTTCCACCCCCCACCCAAGAGGCAGCAGGCTTATCCTCACCTAAGTCAGCTGGTTTTTATCGCCCCACGTTTCCTAATCTCAGAAGGGAAAGAGCTTTCTATTGCCATTTTCTTTTTTTTAAAAGAAAGCACCTTCTATTATGTATTTCTTCATAAAATAGGAGAAGAAAGCTCTATGCCTTGAATTTCAGGTTCCACCCTGATACAATTAAAAATTTTAGAAATCCTGTTTTGTTTTTCTCATAAAAACTAGCTTGGTAGATATTATCTTGCTCTAAGTCCATTAAAAACAAAACAAAACAAACAAACAAACAAACGAAAACTCCACCAGCAACAACAAAAACTTGAACCTAAAATATCAAATTGAGCATTGACTTTATTCTCTATAAAGCAGCATTTTGAAACATTGACTTTATTCTCTATAAAGCAGCATTTTGAAATATTCTTACTAAAATTTTGCAACACACCAAAAAATATATATTTCTGCTGACCTGACAAAAAAATAGATATAATTTTGATTCATGCATTGTGTTGGCTATTGTCTTTTTTGTTTGTTTGTTTGTTTGTTCGCTTGCTTTTTTTTTTTTTTTAATTTGACAATCTAAGGCACATGTGTCAAACACAAGGCCCGCGGGCCAAATCTGTCCCGCCAGGCCTTGCATGTGGCCCGCACCACGCTGTCATCACTGCACTCCACTGCGTTTCCATCACAATGACAGTTTATGACTGTTCAGTAAACCATTCGGCCCGCGATTTAGGCTGGATTTTAGATTTTGGCCCCTTCTCTGATTGAGTTCGACACCCCTAAAGATTCTAAGGGATTAGGGTCAGTGCCCCTGACTAAATACTCAGGTATTGAATGCTTTAAAAATTCTTATGGCGCACCAGTTGAAAATTGTTTTACTACAACAATATAGACAATTGATTCTTTGGATTCAGAGTTATAAGGCAACAACTTTTGAGAAACATTTTTAAAAAAATCAGTGTATTGTCTTAAAAAAAAATCAGTCATACTTTTTATTCGAGACCCCCAGGTGTTGCCAGTGCTTTTTGAATCTGTTCAAAGGCATCTCAAGTGCCTCCCAGGCTTCTCTCTCACCTCTGTGTACGAGAGGAAGAGACTTGATGACTCCGATCACAGAGACTCACAGCTAATGAAGAGAAATTGCCAACAGGCAGGTTTGACCCACCTAATAGAGTCCCATGTGATGGCAGAATTAGATTCTGAAAGTAGCACTTAATATTGCATTTATAAAAATTACTTTTGAAAATCCCTTCAGTTGCCCATAAAGTATATTTCACTTTATTGAAAGAGTAAAACAAAACAAAAATTGCTATCTTTCACTTAGCCCAATAACAGTTTTTACTTCTGAAATAGTGGTCTGGTGTATAAAAAAGATATATGTTCAATTCTAAAAATCATATTCAGGGATGCTCAGTTATAAGTGCACAAAAACATGAGACTAATAATATTATTATTCATCTCTCTTTTTTCCAGACAATGTAGAATTCTAGTTGCCAATTAAAAGTTCTTATGATGTAACTTCACCATATGCTGGAAACTACTCTAATACATATTGCTATTTGATAATAAAATTGGATGCAAGTATGCTGAAAGGGATCAGGTAATGATAATGCAAATGATGATAATAATATGAGTGTTTGCATATCTCTGTGCCAGGCACATTATCTCATTTAATTATCACAACAACCCCATGAAGGAGATACCATTCTTATACCAATTTAAAGAAAAGAACACTGATGGTAATATTCAGAGTGTTAGGTATAATAGAGCATTAAGTCATCAGCCAAGAGAAAAGCGTAAAGTGTTTTATTTTTAATACTGGTTGAAGGTTTTATTTCTGGTCAAAGGTTGCAGGATCCCTAGCCCCAGTCAGAGTCGTGTGGGAGGCAACCAATCGATGTGTCTCTCTCACATTGATGTTTCTCTCTCTCTCCCTCTACCCTCTTTCCCTCCCAATCTCTCTAAAAAAAGAAATCAATGGAAAAAATATCCTTGGGTGAGAATTAACAACAACAAATACTGGTAATCTTAGACTTAGATTTTTTTTCTGATTAAAAAAAGATCAGAAAATGGAGTGATTACCCTAAATAGCATAACATAAACATAAATATTTACATGAAAATCATTACAAATTATTTTTTAATTTTTTTTTTTAAATCCTGGTAAACCTGTGGAAAAGAAAAAGAGAAGAGAAACTAATTTTAGGATAAATTTGTTATTACTAAAGAGCTATTGTATAATAATAATATTCTCTTGCCTAAAATTCTAATCCTATATAATAAAGAGGTAATATGCAAATTAACCCTCATGCCCTCACAAAATGGCTGCCTATAACTAGGCAAGCAGGGGGCTTGGTGAGGGACGACCAAACAACTGAACAAGCAGGCTGCATGGGGCAACCAGGCCGATAGGGGGGTTAGTGAGGGATGACCAAACGACTGAACAGCAGGCTGCTGACCAGGCCAGTGCGGGGGGGGGGACCGTAAGGGGAGACGAGGCCTGCAGGGAGTAGGGCAATTGGGGGCGACCAGGTCTGCAGGGGGAAACAGTAAGAAGTGACCAGAATGTTGGGTGGGGGGCAGTTAGGGGCAACCAGGCTGGCCGGGGGGTGCAGTTGGGAGCAACCAGGCCAGTAGGGGGAGGGGGCCATTGGGGGTGATTAGGCTGGCAGGAGGGGCAGTGAGGGGTGATTAGGATGGAAGGAGGGGGCAGTTAGAGGCAACCAGGCAGGCAGGCAGACAAGCAGGCAGGTGCGCAATTAGGAGCTAGTGGTCCAGGATTGTGAGAGGGGTGTCAGACTGCTAGTTTGGGCCTGATCTTAGGATCTGGCCCAAACTGGCAGTGGACATCCCCCGAGGGGTCCCAGATTGGAGAGGGTGCAGCCTGGGCTGAGGGGACCTCCCTCCCAACTGTGTATAAATTTCATGCACCTGGCCTCTGGTATAAAATAATTCATAACATGCCTGGGTGCATTCAGAATTAAATATATATATTTTCTTGTTGGCTTTCTATTGTTTCCACATGTACATACCAATTAAAACAATTTCAAACTTAATTTGCTACATAGTATTTCAGTTTGCACAGCATGTTTTTGTTTTGCTTTTTTATCATTTAACTTTGTCCCTCTCTGCATGCTAATCTTCAAAAACACTTTCTAAATTAGTCCTTGCCTGATACATATGTCTGTTTGGTTTAACTTTTGACTCATGTTCCATAATAATTCTGATTTTTTGTCTGAGCCACAAATTGGAAGCAAGGGAAGCATGAACTCATGGGCTTTCTTTCTTTCCTTTCTGTAAGTTTAACAGAGGTGAGGAGACATGTCTTTCATTATGTAGATAGTAACTTCTGAGAGTTTTCAGAACCAGATGGACCAAACGATAACCTCTTTGCTGATTAGAATGTCTGATTCCCTCTAAGAGACCCTAAAGGAAGCCAATTAGCCTCAACAGATGTGTGTACAATAAAGAAGGGGAAGGAAAAGAGGGCAGATTGGATGGAAAAAATATAAGATTTCTGGAGAAGTGGGATGTGGGTTTAAGCTTTACGTAAATGGTCATAGGAAACTGAGGGGAGGGGAAGGCAGCTGTAGAGTTGAGGGAGAACAGTTTTATAGAATTAATGAGGGTACTGTATACCTTGATTTGTCAGGGAAATTATGCTTATGGAGTGTGGAAAACCAGGAAAATATTTTCACTATAGGGGAATATGGTATGTATCAGATTGTTTTTCATTCTGAGGGTGAACTCTGGAGTCAAACATTACAAGG